ATTGTATTGTATTGTATTGTATTGTATTGTATTGTATTGTATTGTATTGTATTGTATTGTATTGTATTTTATTTTATTTTATTTTATTTTATTTTATTTTATATATTGATTTATTTATTTACGTCAAAAACAGTTAAAAACCGTGTGTGACGTGCTATGAGAAGAAGTTCATTTGAAGTTACATGTCGAGAAGCAAAACAAGGGGCATTATCAGCATTTGCTCAAGGATCAGGGAAACTTGACGAAAACCTGATTGAGATGGGTGTCATTGACCCAGAATATCCATTTACTATTACGTATTCCTCTATGAGTAAGCACATTTAGACCTACTTCACAACACGTTACAGCGCTTTAAATTGCGAAAGTTTTAACTTATTCTACATAAGATTCTAAAGTTACTTTATCTAGTGTTACTAAACTAATTTTAACTTATTTCTAAGCTACATATATTTTAAGAAAGAGGTTGCAATTTACGAAGGAAAACTTTGCCAATCTACCCTTTGAGTATTGACAAATATGGAAAGCTTCCACGCATGTCTTTTACTTTTACATCCAGTATATGTAGTTCAAAATGAGTAAAGCTGAAAAACAATTGATGTCGAGATATTCTCGGAAGCACATATATTTTAGGGTCACTTATTCCAAAAACGTTTCAGTCAGTCCGTCTATGAATAACATAAGGCCCGAAACCCTACACAGGATTTTCATCAAACCTGATATTTCACGATCAATGTAGCTGATGTGGAGGTCACAAAAATAATGTGGTCACTTAAATTTCATGTGTTATTTTACAAAGTCCTGCAACATTTTTGAAATTCTCTAAAAAATGGCTCCAATTTTTGTTTGTTTAGTTTTTTGCTCTTGGGAATTTTTAGATTTTGGAAATTGTACAGATTCAGAATTTTTTGGACACCCACACAACATTTAAAAATATATTTTTTCTTAATAATATTTGTTTATCACAATTAACTTAAAATTATATCATTCACAGTTTTTTCCAAACATATGATAAGTTTTATGGTCATTGAACCATTCCAATCAAAATTTAAAGTTTATGGCAGTGGGGTTTAGATAATGTTTGTTTTCTAATATATGTCTTTTTATATATTTCATAATAATGTCTTTATAACAAAAAGTTAAATGGTCAAATATGAGAGACATTGCATCAATGGTTTTCCTACAACAATCAAAATAATCTTGCTAACATTTCATATAGGATATAATTAAAAATACTTCAATGCTTATGCTTCATATCGGCAAACTGAGAGATATACTATTGTAAACATAAATTATCACACTTTTAATAGGTAAAGAATTATTTATAATTTTCACTTGCAGGCAGGCAGGTGGATGGACGTTTGGTCGTCATTTGATTTTTCGGCATTTAGGACCCACAAAACGTGGGTAGTGTCTACACCACGTGTTAGAGGATCGTATACTAAAATTAGCCAGTGGATTTATCCACTTTTTTGTTAGTAAGGTCCTGTAAGAAGAGCTTTTTGCCGAAAGTTCACCATTTAGTACAGCTTTACGTGATTGTCATATTTTGCTCCATGAAAATTCATCACTCGTATTTTGCGCGCAACATTTCAGTTTAATACAATAATTGTTTATTGGATGTAATTTTAAGGAGAGAAATGATAGAAAGATCTTTCTCTTGCTCAATATCTGTGACTATACCTGAACAAATGTGTGTTTCAACTTACCAACTGAGCGTCTGACTGTGGACTGCAGAGTAAGAGGAAAATTGCAATCAGGACAATGTGCGCCAACATCCCTGAGAGAGAAGAACCATAAGTTAAGGTTATATTACCACATCACGGAAGTGATAATTTTCAAACATCTTTAAAGCAAACTGCTTGGCCGTTTTGAACACAAATCTAAAGGAAAATAACAAAATGAATTAATGAAACTTTTAATTTTATGTATCTTTGATCAAATGTTGTAAATGTGTTAATGACATATTAACCTTTTACTGGGTAAGTTGTTTTCCGATAATACATTTTTTCTGACAGTGTCTTTTCACTATACTTTTTTGTAACAGTGTAATTATATCATATCACAGTTCTCTAAGAAAATAGGACCCCAGTAATTTCATTTCTGAATTATTTGTTAGAGAAATTTCTTGAGAATTGATTTCATCAATATCTAAATGTCTAAAGAACATTACCAACGCCTGTCAACTTCTAGACAAAGTATGTCCACAGAGTCTTCACCTTCCTTTGAGAAGTTATAATAACTTCCGTAATACAAGCACTGGCTTTGCTATGTAAATACTGACTCCGGCCGCGGAAGCCTACGCTCTCTATGTAAATACTGTTTGAAAGAGCATCTCCCTCTAAATGGTACAAGCTGTTCATCTACTGTAACACACTCTGAGGCAGTGAAAGCCGTTTGCCAATTATCAACAAAGAGTATATTATCAGAGCAAGTTTCCGGGCTGGACCAGTTGACATTGAAGAGCCAAACATTTCGTCCATGACTAGTGGACATCCTCAGTTTCGACAGGGTCCTTGGCGCAGTGGCCGCAGCGGAGGCGACTGTCGTCTCAGCGCAATTGATCATTTCTATTGCAGTAGTCTGCCCCCATTTTCTTGCGTATACAAAGATACTTTCAATACTATTCTATCTGAACAGTGTGTAATTGAAGTTACAATATCATATTTGATAATAAACAGCAAAACATTCTCTTCGTGTCTTGAGAGTTGCACTTACCGGGTAAATGGCTAAGTAAATTCAATTTCAGAGTTCTCAAACGTATTTCATCTGGTTTCCCTGTGTATTTTGTTTCGTAATTTCCAATCATTATTGTTATTATTAGCAATTATTAACAAGCCAATAAATCATCTCATTTTAATTGTAGTAGTCTTGCATGAATTGAATTGAAGTAGATTTGCTTGAATTTACAAAGCTACTTTCATTACTGCTGTATTTGTACAGTGTGTAATTTGATTTACAATATCACATTTGATGATAAGATCAAAATATTTTCTTGGTGTACTGACAGATGCAGTCATCGGATACGTACTTGGTAAATGGCTAACCAAATTGAATTTCCGGGTTCTCACGTGTGTCACTTGACTGCCATAAATATTTTATTTCCTGTTTTCCAAATATTTTTGTTATTAATATATTATTAATATTAATATAATAATACTAATTATTATTATTATTATTATTATTAAATTTTCCGATCCAATGGCCAAGATCCTAAGGCAGTAGTGCAGTAGCCGTCTCGGACCCCAAGATCGCGGGTTCCCACCTCGGGCATTGTTGTGTTGTTATGTGAGTGTCTGTATGTCTGTGTGTGTCTATGTCATCACGCATTATCAAAGATGGAGTATCAACAGTAGAAAGTAACGTGCTTCTTCTTTGGTTCTACCCTTTTCCATACGGAAGTTACCCATTGTTGGGACTATTACTCATGGTGGTTTCTAGTTGCCTTCTCTGAGTGTTCGACCCAGGTGTCTTGAAAACCTCTAGAGAAGGGATGATTTTGGGGACCTTATCGAGCAGGTGCGCCACGCAGGTAGTCCCCTGACGCGTCTGGAATTTGACTCACGCTTTCTCCGCCAGATGTCGGTCTCAGTTACTATTTCCGAACTGTCTGAGGGAAAGTGAGGTGTCGTTAGGGCGAATGTTGCCAAAGGGATTTAATTCTGCCGGGTATACCGCCCGGGTTCTTTTACATGCCGCAAGTATGAAATGACTACTGTGGAGTTTTCGTCCTTCGAAATTCCACGCACCTCGGCCGGGAAAGAACCCGCGCACTGAGGGGTCAGAGTCCACTAAGCTAACCTCTCACCATCGAGACCCTCTAAGTAACGTATACCTACCCCGATTTTAAGACTGAGTCCCAGTGCGATGCACGAATCGCGTAGCACCATTATGACCGACTCGTGAAAAAAACAACATTAATGTAATTATCACTAGCAATGATTAATACATTTCAATTTTTTTGAAATTTAAATTTTAGTACTCCCTTGAAAGAGCGGAGCTCGTGTTGAAGGGATTTCATTTAATACGTTTTTTATTTACTTGGCTGTCCGGGTGACACCGCGTCCATGGCGAAGGTGCCGACGTTTCGGTCGCCATTCTGCGACCTTCCTCAGGGCGTAATGCCCTTTGCCATGGACGCGGCGTCACCCGGCAGCCAAGTAAATACTGACTCCGGCCGCCGACGCCTACGCTCTCTAATACGTTTTTGTTGAATTTAAACATAAAATACTACACGAAAAGTCCCACAAAAATGTTCCCCCCCCCTCCCAAAAAAACCAGCTGAAATTACAAAAAGGTCGTAATATAAGAAAGTAAAAAAATACCGTATAAGATAACGCAAATATCCACATATACTAATAAAAATTTACTAGTAAAACAGATATGGAGTTAAAGACGCCCGAAATTATAAAAAGGTGGAAATGCTAATGACTATACCATCAATTTATAGAAAGTCGGAAGAAGAACAAAACTAATTCATTTTGAGAAAATGTGTTGTAGTTTATTTCAAAAAACTAGAAATGAAGAAAAAAATGAAATTCTCAACACTATGGGCTCATTCGGTTTTACGCCAAAAAATAAACACAAAATGAATGCATCGTCCTATTGAAAATTAAATGCAGTAAATTTGATTGATACACAGCTTGAAAATTAAAAACATTTTCATTCAATGAAATAAAATGATTTATAGTGCGCTTATAAAAAGATGAAAAACCGATCATTGAACTCTAAATCTTCAAAAATTACAATTGTGCAAATAATTTCAGGAAGAAGAGTCTGTAGTAGCACCACTACTTAATAATTTTCCAGAGCAATTATTTTTTGAGCATTCTGGGGGACGTATGTAAAATCTTTTCCTCGTGTACACAGATTTGGAAAACTAGTTCCCCATTCCCTGTGTTTCTAATAATGCCCATCTTTTCTCTACAAAAATAAGATTTTAACGTTTGTGCAGGCTTGGCTGTAAGAGAATGCTGGAGTTTCCCCGAAGCGGTTGTGCATGGCGTCGAATGCAATTAAATATACGAGAAAAGTCGTGCGATTATAAAGGATTATAGCTGAACATCCAAACCAAATCGATAATCGTGATACTGATATGAAAGAGAACAGAAAATGCCGAATATTCCCAAAAAATCAGTCTTCTAGGGAAATCTGTTGCAGAGATTCAACAAGACCGTAATTTAATTTTTTTCTCAGCTTCAATTGCAGGTATCAGGCTGAAAAATTGCAATTTTTCACTTACATTTAAACAATTTAAGTTGAAGTTATTGAAAAGTCTCACTTACTATTATGATTTACAATTGTTTGCTGACAAATGTGTGTTTTTATGTGTAAATTATTTATAATATCCAAATAAAATCACCAAATCTCTTTAGATGTATGTATTGTTTCTAATACAAATGAAATAACTCGGTCACTTTTTGGTTTATGAATAATTCATGTTTATAATATAAATAAAATTACTCATTGAAGGTTTATTAATTATTGAAAATTAGACAATCTTGGAAAATGAATTATTGTCACTTTCATCTTCAATAACTGGAATCACACTTTCGTTTGTTAACAGCCCTGCACACAATTTCTGACGGTATAACAATTTTTGCCAAGTAACTAGTTTGCACCAAATAATAAGTGATCACAGTTATGTTGAAGCAGCATTCCAGGTTGCGACTTCTGTTCATACAAAAAACGTCGGTATTAAGTCTCGGTTTAAATATTAGTAAAATAATTTTTTCAACTATATTTTGCAGCAAGCCAGAGTAATCTCTCGATCATCCAGAGATTTCAATCCAAGACCTTAAGAATGATCGCGGCAGCACCATGGTTCATCATAAATGCAGCACTGCACAAGGACTTAAAAATGCCCACTGTCTTGGAAAGAATAGAATTTATCAGCTCAAACTATCTCCAGCGCCTTGAAAACCATCCAAACCACTTAGCCCTCAACATCCTAGACAATAGTGCAGACATCCATCGACTAACCAGAACCTCACCCCTACAACTCCCATATAGATTCTCAACTAATAACTGAAACATTACCCTCAGCTACTAAACTATCCCACTTGCAGCCAACCCAAAATAATACTTGCTTTTTGTTATAGTATGAAGAAGTAGATGAGTACCGATGGGATACCTTCACTGGAAATCAATGTCAGAATAATTCTACATCATACTTACTTATTATTTTGTAAAAAATAGATTGTAAATTTTTTTGTTATAAATAAAACTATATTTTGCGCGAATTTCAAATTTTTAAACTGTTAAAATTGATTTTAATATTTCTTCATTACCATCCACATTGTTTAAAAATCTGAAAAATATATATTGTTGAATATTATGAGACAAGCTAAGAGGGAAAAAATGAGTCAGTACTTCAACGTTATCATGTCAAGAATCAATTTCAAAAATTTATTTATTTTTTCTATTTAAATTTGATGGGAAAATTAGTTGACAAAATATCTCCTAGTACAACTATATTACCGTCTCTGCAATTTTTGCAGCCTGATACTTGCAATAGAAGCTGAGAAAAAATTAAAAATTAAAAACACATTTTCCGAATCTCTACAACACATTGACCTTGCTGCAACAGATTGCCTAGGCTGATTTTTTGTGACTCTACGGCTTTTTTTACTCGCTTTCATATGAGTATCAGGACTATCGATTTGATTTGGGAGTACGTTTGACCTTATTCGGCTAAAACCTTGATAAGTGTAGCTTGAATGATTTATTTA